TTTTAGAAATGAAACAAAATCAATGCAAAGCATAATGAGGATTTAAATTAAAATATTAAATCAATGAAAAAATCCCAATAAAGTAATTTGCCTGGGAGCCTTTGCATTTTTTCTGTATTAGTCACATGACCATGGGCGTGACCTGATGACGTCATCACTAGTGTTACTGATCATGAACAAGTTAAAACACATGAAATAACTCTGAACTAACTAAAAATGATGAGGTTATATGAGAATAAATTTTCCTCAGCAACGGCTTGAAAAGATCGGTTAATGGGCCCTTAAGCGTTCAAAAACTTTGCTCTAGTTATTGTAATAAATTAGTCTGTGGGTGGTGTGCACAATGGCATTCTTCAGCAGACTTGACAATCATTTTAACTAAACCACCAACATTAGTAGGTGAACCGTGATCGCCCCCGTGTCCTGTTGTTGTGCTTTCAATGACTTTGAATCAAAAGGGACTGGATTCCTCTTTTTTCCTTTGTGATTAATTTATCATTTTTCACCAGGTAGAAGCGGTAAATGGAGGGGACTCGTGGAGTAGAGTTGTGCACTGTTACCTGGTTTTGTAAATCCTCCATAATTTTATGTGGACGGTTGTGGTGCCGACCTTGCATGTCCACAGGGGTTGCCTTGCTCCGGACTGTTTTCGCGCGGTTTTCGGTAATGCCATGTAGAGATATAAACGCCTCTCTGCAAACCTGTTGGTTCATAAACACATACATATTAACAAAAGATTATACTTGTTTCTATGGTTAAAAGAACAAAAATCCGATGATCACAGCCGTTCCATCGTGATCTTAAAAATAGTATATACTCTTTTCTCTGTAAGAACCTTTATTGCAAGAACGTTGAGGCCCCAGGGGGGGTACTCCTAGAAAAATTGGGTGGGGGTGTGCGGCCTGCCTCCCAAAACCAAAAATTCGAAACCCTATTTATGACCTGACCCTAAAATCAAAACCCTGTTTCAGACCTGCATTACAATTAGTTCCCTAGTTCAGACCAATGTTAAATTACTGTAAACATAATTTGTGAAGGGCTTTTGTTGATTTTCTTTTCGATAGTGATGAAAAAGTGGCTTTTTCTTAAAAACATACTCATATCAAGGCTAGAGTGCAAAAACCATACCCTATTTATGACCAAAATGTCCAAAATCAGCTAAAATCGATACCCTATTTATTACCGAAACGGCTGAAAAACCATACCCTTTGGGGCCGCACATACCTATATAGCCCATATAAGGAAGTACCCCCACGGGGTTGAGGCTGAGATTTTAAAATCTCAATTTTAAGAAAGTACTAAAAAGTCATAGCAAGACTAAGAGTCAATTAAGAACGTCTTTATCTTTTTCATTTGTTGTTTTTTAAAATGGGCCGTATCAATAAAGACAAAATGAACGTGAAACTGTATTCTAACAGTAAAACTGGCCCAAATACTACTCAGCTTCAAAACTAGACGTCCTTGTAAAAAGAAAAAATGTAGTGACTAACGAAACAAGGCAAACGAGGATTTCAAGGTTAACTAAGTCACATACCGGTATTCTCTTGAGGTCCGAGGTTTGTACAAAATACTCGTACGTGAACGCATGCTTCCTCTCTTTTCCTGTCTTGTTAATGCCGAGGCATCCACCAGCGCCAAGACGTTTGGGGTCCTTTCCAACTATCAAACCACGAAGGTAAAGATTCTGGTTGCTGGTGTCCCCCATTCCGTTGAACGCCTCCAGTATCCTTCGTTTTTTGTGGTCGTCGACTTGGCAGAAGCACTCTCGACGACGTCCACAAGAGGGACCAGTTTTCCTGGATGGTACAGGTCTCCCTCTGCAGTCTGTTGTTGCCTGGCCTCACGCAAATGCTATTTTTCGTTTATTTCTTTTCCAACTAGGAATTAGGTAAAAAGAATTGGAATGTATTAATTTTAAGCTAACATAAAAGGCTTCATATTGTTTCTCTAGTGTCTAAAGAAAGCAAATTTTATCAGCCCTCTTGTTCACGAAAGCCTAACATTTTTAGACTGGACCCGCAGGAGGCCACCGAGTTGAAAATTTGACTTTTTTGTTTGTCAGTCACAAATTCCTTAAAAGATGCCAAAACATGAGAACGA